ATACAGATGCTACACAGCAGATTTAACTGACAACCCTAGTTTACAAGCTTAAAGCAAAAGGAGCCTTCGTCCATTTTAACAATAAATAAAACTGCTGCCTGTTAAGAAAGAAATTAATCATTTTCGGTAGGGTTGTGCGTGTCCTTAACGATTGTTTCATAATGTTGTTTTATTTCTATTTAAAAGTATTTCATAAAGCATAATTAAGTATAACAAGAGGCTTGCCTTACGTAAATGGAGCCACATTTAGTCCGAGAGGTGACGGATTGAAAATACCTACGGATTGTCACCACACCTATTCATCCCGTGGATGTCGTAACATTCGTCACGTCTGGCCAGCGTGGGATAGTAGGACAAAACCTCTTTCCTAAGGAGAGGCCTACGTCTAGCAGTGAACTAGTAAAGGCTATTGATGTGCAATGTAACTTATAGGTGGCAAAATATCCAAATATCCAAGTAGTCATTACATGGACATTTCTTTTATTTTTCTGGTACCAACTAAGTACTTTTTTAAACTTACTGAGAATATACCAACAAAATAACCAATAAAACAATGTGTGTGACCCGGAAATCGAATCCAGAACATCGCAAGAAGAAGTTAAAATATATAAATTTCAAAACTTTACTATTATGTAACGTACGTATAATGAAATAATAACACATTTTTTTTTATCTTTAATAAAAAATTAAAACCGATAAAGGGAAATATTGAAATTCCTTTATAAGATTAAAATTCACGTCAAACATGTGTTATCGGAATTAACATTGATTAAACCCAAACAATTAAAAATAATAAATTATTGAAAAACAGTATTTTTTAAACATAGAAAGTGATGGTAACTTTTGGATCTTAGACCATCGCCTCCGTGGCGCAATTGGTTAGCGCGTTCGGCTGTTAACCGAAAGGTTGGTGGTTCAAGCCCACCCGGGGGCGTTACTTCTTTTTGCTTTCAATACTATCGTTTTTTTATAAGTATCTCCAAGATAATAGCTGTGATAATTAAATAAATATGTTTGTCTTACAAACGTCAATGGCAAAAGATATATGTTACTTATAAAGTGATTAATTATTTTTGTACATTTTATACGTACAAAAATAGTAAATACATACAAACTTTTATTAACAATATTTTTAAAAACTGCATTCCATGTTGCTTCACAGTTAAACGAAAACTCAACAGACTTTGTAGAATGCACTGATATATCTAGTCTCAAATATTCTATTGACTCTAACACCCATTAATTTTTCCTCATATACACAAAGAAAGATAACTTATAAGCATATTATAAGCAAGTTTAAAATTCAAACCAGGGTCCTTGGACCTACAAGAATTTGGGACCTAGTTTGAAAGTAAAAAGCATTAAAAAGAAAAATTATTAAGAGTTAAAAACGTTTTTAGCCGTATTCGCAGGAGAGAGGGTTATAGTTTTCAAGTGTTTTAAACGGGTTGATGGATTTTGACTTGGGAGGTGTCCTTAAATTCGTTTTAATTGTTAGAGTGATACTGGGTAGATAAAAATTATTAAAATTAAAATCACCGGTTTGCAAATTTTAAGTATACTATACATTTGTCCGTGTTGTGACGGATTAAGAATACAGACTGTCACCACCCTTATTCATCCCGTGGGTGTCGTAAGAAGCGACTAAGGGAGCAAACTAAGCAGGACAACAGCACTGCTGAGAGAAGGATGGTTTGTGTCAACGGTTGGTATAGACCAACCCGTCTGGTCAGCGTGACATAGTAGGCCAAAACCTCCTTTCTAAGGAGAGGACTATGTCCAGCAGTGGACTAGTAAAGGCTGTTGATGATGATTGATGATACATTTTATCGCAGTTGGGTTTTTTGTTTTTTCTTTCAATAATTAGTTTGTTTAGCTATGGCCTTCTGAATTACCCATTACTTTAAATAGTAGAAGCTATTATAAATTAGACTTAGTTTCGTTCAGCAGAAGTACCGAAATTATACTTATTTAAAAAAGTTTGTTACGCAAATCTTCAGTTATATACATAAGTTAGTTAGCCGCTCTTGTCCTAACATACTAAGCCTCTTTAGTAAAAATTAATGGCGTTTATCGATAAGAAGATAGAATAGATACTGTTTAGAAGAATTTTAAACACTTCGTTGGTACACTTTTTTTCTTTTTTTGGTAGTGTAGAAAGCTTTATATAGGAGGGATCCGGGAGCAGTTTCTATTATGACAACCGGATCCCTCCTAACTACCATAATATGGAAACTCTTTTTCAGGCGATTTCTAGGTATACATAGTACATTAATTAAATATCAAAACCAGATGTCAAGACTCTAAAATGAAACAAATAATTATATAAAAATATAAATATTGCTCTAAATGCCCTTTACATTGCTTTTAAATTAAATTGTTAATATAAGGAAAAATAATAGGTCTTTACCTATGAAATTGCCGTTTTGTATGCAATAAGTGAAAGTACTAATTTTTTCAAACTTTTTTATTTCTGTTATTCGAAGTAATCACCCATGCAATCGACGCATCTTTGCCAACGCATTGGCAGTTTATTGTAAAGATCAGCTGGACGGGAGGCAACAAACTCTTCAAAGGCATTTTGTACTGCCTCTCGGGACTTGAATTTTTTACACACTAAAAAGTTGTCTAAATTTTGGAAAAAGTAATAGACGGTAGGTGCAAGGTCAGGTGAGTATGGCGGATGAGGGAGAGCTTCCAACCCCAGCTCTTGCAGCTTGGAGACCGTCTGTAGCGCAGTATGGGGTCGCGCGTTGTCGTGAAGGAGCAGTGGGGACGACCGATTGACTAAAGCTGGTAGCAGATGTGTGTAAAGACCTAATATTTTAATAATAACCAGGCTCAGGAAATTCTAATTCAGACAAATATCATAAATGCGAGTGTGTGTCTGTATGTCTGTCTTTCCGTCTGTTACCTCTTTAATCGCTTTAACCGCTGAACCGATTAAGATGAAATTTGGTATGAAGATCGGGAAAGAACATTCATTTGTATTCCAAACATCCTTTAAGGTAGTGAAAAGAGGGGTGGAAGCTTGTATGGGGAATCAATAACCGCTTAACCGATTTACATGAAATTGGTATGAAAATACTTTAATTCTTGAGGAAAGACATAGGCAACTTTTTAACGCGATAAGCGATATTTGAGCAGGTGGACCGGCAGAAGCTAGTATGGATTAGTATGGATAAGTTCTATAGGCAAAATGATGTTTTATCAATATTTTTATCTATAAATCTATGTAAATACCTAAATAAAATTTGCTTATCTCTTTGCAATATCAGATTAAAACAATTTTTCTATATCATCTCAATGTTTTTGTGATAAGTACTCGAACTTCAAAAAATATCTACTTTAGAATTTATCTGTCTGTGTAGTTGTGTTGGCTAACATCCGGCACTGATGGGACGATTTTGGAAAAAGAATTAAGGTAGACGCAAGCAACGATTACCCCACTCTTTGTGAGGATAATAATCCTGGATCGTACATCCGCGAAGTGATTTCTAATAGGTGGCTTCTTTTTAAAATTATTTACGGATTACCTTTTAGAATAGCCAGTAATAGTTCATCATCATCATCATCACCCTATCGCAGTCCACTGCTGGACATAGGCCTCGCCCATTACCAGTAATAGTTGGTATATACAAATTACAATAAAGCTAATATACCTACAATGCACATACTGCGTCCAAATATAACGTTTTACAAGAATTGCGTTTCTCCTAAAGTGAAAAACTCATCATTAACAGCCTTAAATAGTCCACAGCTGGACATAGGCCTCTCCTTTACCTAGAAAGGAGGTTTTGGTCTTCTATGCCACTCTGGCCAGACGGTAGCTATAGATTTTGTTTCAAGTTTTCAAAGTGCTGTTGTTCTGCGTAGTTTGCTCCCTTAGTCGGCTCTTATGACACCCACAGGATGATTAGGGGTAGTGACACTCGGTAACCTTCACCCGTCACAACACGAATGCACACTAACCGATAGATCAGTATTATCGATTTTGTCATACATTTACTGACAGCGCCCCCTAGCGTATTAAAGCGTAAACTCTTTGTATAGAACCAACGATCTTTATCGAATTTCTATAGAATACATGTTTGATTAGACTGGTAAGTTACAATCAAGTAAATGTACCTTTTTAACTTATTTATAAAGATAATAAAACGCTATCATCAGCCTGGTGAATTCGTGGTCAGTGACTACGTATAGATAGTTATGGACCAGGGCAAGTTTCAAGATACAAGAATTAAGGTATTGTGATGTATATTTGATTAAACCTCGTTATCATCAGTCTGCTATGTTTGTGGTCACATGTACTAGGGCAACTGACCTATATTTTGGTCATATTACTCAACGCCTCCGTGGCGCAATTGGTTAGCGCGTTCGGCTGTTAACCGAAAGGTTGGTGGTTCAAGCCCACCCGGGGGCGATGATTTTTATGTTGCTATTGATTTTTTTTTCTGAAATTATTTCATTATTTTTTCATTTTTAGAAACTCTTTCTTGGTCAAACAATCATCACCATACTGTTTTTTTTTTAAACCTAAAAAAGGTCTCCAGGCAACGGCCAAATCACATATTTAGAGTTAGGCATAAAGAGTAAAGCATGTAGAGTTAGAAGCTTGGCTCTACATGAGATCTTATAGCTTTTTGACAGTGCGAACCGATATTAATTTTCAGACCTCTAGCATCAAAATTTACGGTACGGTAACCCAGCCTATTGTAACCAGACTACTGATAAACAAACTTATTATAATCCTAAATACTTACATGTTATAGAATTGCAACCAAACATAACGAATTAAAAAATTCTTTCACCAATGGAAAGCTACATTATCAGTGAGTAACATAGGCTACTTTTTATCATGATAACCGATATACACGCGGGCAAAGACGCGGGCAAAGGTTAGTAAGTCTATACAATGACAGTTCAAGTTACACTGGTCGATGAAATAATACAAACAGACGGCTAGGCGATCTCTAGTATTAATGATGTGTTAAACTTACCTCGTTGCCAACATTCTGTACTACAATGGTGTTCAGATTTGGATAATAATATCTAGACCTCGCTAGGAGCATGAACGCTCTCGCGAAGTCATCGCCGTAGCCTACGAAGTACCTGCAATGTTCATCTTATAAGTTACACATTCAACTTCTAAGTGGATAAAACTCACCACGTTTACCGTGGGAGAACAAATGCGCAGCCTCGACAGGAATCACACCATGACATTACATAAAAACTAGGGTACCCGAGAAGAACCCTTCCCACTACCCCTGATTCTGAGATATGGTAGTAGTAGGTAGCAATGCACTTGTGACTCTTGACTTCCAAATGTCCGTGAGCGGTGGTACTCACTTATCATCAGGTGACCTGATCACTTTTCATCTGATCGTTTGCGGTTTACGCCAAAAAAAATCACATCAATGGATTATGGAGCTGGAGGGATAATGGAACAATTATTATAATTATACCATTATCTGGGCTTCCTAACCCCATCCCCAAAAGTAAAGTATAGATAGAATATTCTTTCTCCTTCTCGAATCACGCTTTGATCGGCCACAAAGAGCCATTTTCACACAACGCCATCTAGTCCCACACTAAGCAGAGCAAGTACTATGGGTACTAGACAACTGATATAAATACATAGATACTTTTTTCTTCCTTCAAAGACGTACATACTATACATAGAATCACACAGACCCAAACAACTCAAATCCCCAAATCAAATCACGCACACAAATGCTTGACTTGAGCGGGCATCGAACCAGCAACCTTTAGCGTGGCAGTCCGCCACACAAACCACTACGCCATCCGGGCGTCGCCTAAATGTGTCTCAAAATGGGCCTGTCCAATTCAAAAACATTCTGCCCAATCTGAGAAAGGCACGCAATGCACTCTTGATTCTTCGAGATGGAGATGACCAACGGCGACGGAAAATACCAGAAGAGAGCTCGGGTAACCCAAAAAAATTAATAGGTGTGAGAATTTAACTAACTCAGTCATTTCAAGGGCTAATTTTCTTAGCTCTTTAACGGTAGCCAAAGTTGTCCATTTCATAAGTTTCTTTCCAAGGTATGCAAGATGGAGACGGTTCTTCATTTGCTGGAGCGCTACCAGTGATGGCATTACGGGGTAGCGGCTTTGACCCCCGCATTCGTCATCGTCATTTTCTGAAATACAAAATAATAGTGTTAGTTACAGTAATAAAATAATTAACATTTAAACAAGTAGGTATTATAAATATAAATCTTAACGATTAAAACGCATCGCTTAATCAGAGTTTTTTAATTATAAGAATCTCCAACGAATCATTATCATCCTAGAGTTATCCCGGTTGCGCCCGGTGACGCCCTGGTCCGCTTTCCGACTCATTCTCCTCCACTTCGGTCTTCAGAATTATGCGTTATGAGACCATTGGCACGTTAATCATCCCTTGCAACGTCAAGCCAGCACTGCTTGGGTCTTACCCTCCTACCGGGCCCCGTCAGAGGCGGCATGGCCAAACATTTGTTCTTTAAGTAGCTCGGCGGTTGCCGCAAGACGTGGTTATACCACTGGACACGAAGGCTACCACGAATATCAAATGAAACATATACACAATTAAAAACAAAAATTTACTAAAAGGCGGTGTACCCCTTCAATTACAAGAGACCACAGCAAGCACAATGAAAAAAAGATACCAACTAAGCGAACAAAGTTACAACTTATAATTGCAATTTAGAGGCTTAAAAAGTTACAAAAAATTGAATCAAAAAATTTAACAATCAAATAAACTTTGTAAATTTAAAAAAAAAGGAACGTTGAGGCTTACATTACATGAAAGCATTGCTTTTTAGTATTTCTTATATTTAGACAAGTGTAGGCATATATTTAGATAGGTCGTTCTGGCTAACATGTTATATTGCCTAAAAAGTCTTGGTCTTTTAAAGTAACATCTGCTCTAAGATACGTATTTCACGGTATAGTTCGACATTAACGCCATCACCTATAAAGTAGACAATGGCAAAAATTCCACTGCAGTTCCAATTGGTGCAGTGGAAGTGATTTCGATGTGGGTAAAGTAACTCCAGTCACACGCCCACCGCTGCAACTCAAGTACAGCAGGATCAACAGCAGTGAGCCACGAACACACCGAGTTATAGGAACGGGAACTCTCAAGAAAAATGAAACTGCCTTGGGACCCGCAGCGAAATTATTCAAAAGAAAATTGGAGGAGTTAGAAATACACTTCCCTGCTTAGCAAAACGGTAGACATAAAGAAAACGTGGTAAAAGTTTTGACGATTCGAGTATAAAATCTAGAGTAATTTCGTATTCTAGTACTTTTACTTCACTTGGCTTAATGATATATAGTTTGCCTCCATATACTTCTGTCAGCCATCATCTGCGGATTCACTCTCCTTCTCTAAAGTTTCATATTTTATGTGATCCACCTACTTACTCACATAAAAGTAGACTTTATCATTAAATATATAAGTTATATATTTACCATCGTCAAACATGATTGCAGTTTTGTTGTTTCAAGGATACCACTTAAGAATAAATATTTCTTGTAAATTAAGAATATTATTTTTTCTGCTATTTATTGGTCCATGATATTCCCATTTGTGTTTTCAGTTTTTCCATTTCTATGATAACTATTGCAAATACATGGTTATATTATTTGTTTGGTTTGGCTACATCTTGGATAGTTTGACAACGTCAAAGAGAAACATTTGAAAATGTTATAAAGCAGAGACTTGATACTATAACCTCTGGTACGTTCTACAGAGGTATGTCAGTTAGAAGGTCAAATATTTTTCCTCTTTTTGTATTTCTAGATGTGTATCTATGAAAAACTGTTGGTACAGCACTTTGAACCGAGATGATGGGGCACTAATAAAATTTGTATGTAAGAGATCGATAAGCACGTTTCCTTGAAAAAGAAAAAAACCGACGGATCTCTAAACTAGGCTGGATTTGAATAGAATTAGGGGAACAAGGGTTTTAAACTGTCTCTTTTAGGAGAGATACGGGAACTGCTGTTATTAAGACATCCGGACCCCTCCTAGCGCCTACCCGCAACGGCGCTTGCACTACCTTTGTGTAAATTCTCTATTTAGACGACGTCTGTCACACGCGGAAGTCACCTCCTCGCGGCTGGACATAACGGCGGGTGGAGGGGAAAACGGCATGAGGCGCTTACTCGGTTACTCGGCGGCAAATTGGGTCCGAGTGAAAATCATCCTCCCGGGCCCCCTCCGTCGCCTTTTCTGCGAGATGAAGTTTGCGCACTAACCTGCTGTAGCACGCACAGCTTACGCACACTCTGCCTGCGCTCAATATAGTGGCGGTTGTCTTGATCTGTTTTCGTGTTCGCTAAATGAATTATTTAAGGCCACTTATTGCATTATAACTTTGGAAAGTAGTATTATTTAGAATTGATTAATTTAATGGATTTAATTTAGTTTTTTTATACAGCATATTATGTTGTATTGTTAGATTGTGATTTTTGTAATTAATAATTTTAGTCCTACATTTATTGGATGTAGTCTGTAATGCTAGTGTATGGTAAAGGAAATAAATAAAAGTATACAACAATTGGAATAAGTACGTAAAGCAGATTTATGTAAAGTAGAAGTAAGAAAACTTTGTAAACAGCATGTTTTACAAATATCATGATTACGCGAAAATTACTACAGTAAGGTAAAAAAATGTATTTTTAATAAACTGACATGGTACATAAGTCTATAGGATGATAGTTCTAGCACCGTGTGGTGACGGATTCAGAATACGAAGTGTCACCACGGGTATTCATCCCTTGGTATGGTAAGAGCCGCCAAGGGAGCAAACTACGCTGAAAAGAGAAGGAATACTTGAGACAAACCCTTTTTTTTAACGTGTGGAAACCCCCCTCGGGTCATCACCCCCACCGGGGTTTTTGACAAACCCTTTTTTTTACGTGTGGAAAACCCCTCGAGTCGTCGCCCCACCGGAATTTTCGACAAATTCTTCAGACAAACCCTATACCAACCCGTCTGGCCAGCGTGGTATAGTAGGCTAAAACCTCCTTTCTAAGGTGAGGCCTAAGTCCAGCAGTGGACGATTAAAGGCTTTTGATGTGATTATAATGTAAGTTCTAGTTTTATGATCAATGAAATAAACCAAAAATGAAGTATCGTTGAAATTCAACATCCAAACGATCTATAATTCCTTTTAAATCTAAGGTAATGGAGGAAGTGTCCGAGATCATAAAACCGAGAAAGGGAAAGGCCTATGTCTAGCAGTGGACTATTAAAGGCAGTTGATGATGATAATAAAGCCAGGAAACTAAATATAATGTCACATTAAACAGTTATTTGGCATCGAACCCTCAATTCGACAGTAGACCTACACACGTACAGGTACTAAAATAGTTGAGCAATTTAAATATCCTATAAACCTGGAATTTTAACTAAATTACTAATCACTTAGATCCTGGAAAGTAATGGCGGCTTCAGACACGGCAACTAACTATATTGTTAATTTGACTACAAGGATGGCGCAGTGGTCTTGTCGTAAACCGTAACTGCCCTGAGAGTTGTAGGTTCGATCCCCACATAATAATAATAACTTGAAAAATTGGTGCTCCACCACTGTGCGCTTTTCAAGACACTTTTAGCCTCGCACAATCAATCTGTGGATCAAGTTATCGTTTGCAGTATTTCCGGAGCGTACTCCTTCCTAAAAGGCCGGCAACGCGCTTATGACTGAGTTGCAGGCGATGGTCACTTTCCATCACGTGACTCTTCTGCTCATTTGCCCCCTCTTCTAAGAAAAAAAAACGAGCGAAAAAAGCGACACTTTGTGATTGACAAATTGTTGTTCTGAGTCTAGGTGTTCTTTGTATACGTGTCATATATGTTTGTAAAGGCCTCCGCGACATTAACAATATTCCTGGTGCGGGGGCTTTCTTAAATAAGTAAACTGTAAGTTTCACTAAATAAAAACACAAGTTAAAAATAAAAAAAATAATTATAACGTCATCACTAAAAAGTACACTAAAAATAAAGATCTTATGTACAGGTCAAGAAAAGTGTGAGGAACTCGCACACCGAGGGTTCCGTAATTAGTATAAAGATAATTCGCCCACTTTCTACACATTTTAATTCTAATTTATCATATTTTGCTGACTGTTCATCTCGATTTTGTCTTTTCACATCTATAATGATTTATGAACTTTGATTTGTTACTTTTAATACAATCCATACATACAAAACTACTTGCTTAACTGATTGATTCATCAACGCAGAGTCGAAACCGCTTAGGCTACATACTTGAAATGTTGGGATCTGATGCACCCAATAAGAAAGGTTTTTTTTTAAATATCACTCCTAAGGGAGTAAAATAAGGGTGTATGGTGTTATGGAAGTTCGTCATGTTCATTGTTGGAAATACGAAATAAGGAATAATCATTAGAGCAAAGCCACAACCAACAGCTAGTAAAAAATAAAAGAGCCAACCTTACAATAGTCTCATATGATGAGTAGCATCTGACACCTCATGTACAACCTGGTGACCAACTCTCAGACAGTGTGTGCTTCTTAGTCAAAAAGAATAGCATAGCACTTCTCCGACTTTCTGTTAGATTTCCGTCCCTTTTCACAAAATAACTTCGTACGTTAACGTCCTCCCCCCACCCCCATAATCAAGAGGACTGAGATCTGGTAACCTCACTCTCTCATTGAAAAGCAAACAAAAAATAATAATACCACTTTTATGTGAGACCGTGATATCACTCTGGTGGAACCGGCCCATTTGTGGCGAAGAATGGCTCTCCCACTTAGTTACCTACCTTTTTTTTAAGAATTTTATTAATTATTTAGTAAGACAACAAAAACTCATTCTTTCAGATGTCCGAGTCGCGCGTGGCGTCGTCTGAACCCGCTCTTAGCTACATCAAGGCGCTCTCAGTGGATTAGGACGAGGGTTGAATTAATTGACTAAAATTGGGTTTTTAATCACTTCACTTCATCAGGTTAAGTAAAGACTTTACGTAGACTAGGCTACATTATAAATGAATTAAGAAGAGAATATTTTAGGGTTAAGTTAAAAGTTGGTTCTAAGGAAAAATTAAACCACAGATTTTTTATAACAAAAAGTGAAAAGAAAAAGAATTAAGGTAGTAAATACTAGCTCTCAAACATTTGAAAGACTAGTTTTTTTTATGTTTGAGAACTAGTTATTACATGGTTCTTCCACAAAAGATACCAAAACAAACAAAAGATCCCATTACCTTTTATGAAATCTTTGTAATGTGTATATATCACTTTATTAGTTTGGACGTGAAAACGTTACAAAGAATCAAACTTAGTTTTCCATGGGTGTATTTCAGGGATGCTATTTTTGGAACTGACAAAAATCATAATGTTATCATACTTCACATCATCACATCAACAGCCTTTACTAGTCCACTGTTGGACATAGGCCTCTCCTTAGAAAGGAGGTTTTGGCCTACTATACCACGCTGGCCAGACGGGTTGGTATAGGGTGTGTGTCAAGTTTTCCTTCTTTTTGCAGTGCTGGTGTCCTGCGTTGTTTTGCGCCCTTAGTCGGCTCTTACGACACCCACGGGATGAATTGTTTACTTATACATACTTATTTTCACTCATTTTAGTTTTTAGCACTGGCATCTAAGAACGGCAATCGACCGACACCTAAGACAAGTCTAGGTTTTTTTTCTGCATAGGTGGTATTTGAGACGTGAGTTTCTTCCAATTCAATACGCCTAAATCATTATAAATTGTAAGGCTGTATTGTTCATGCTTTTTTTTATTAACCGACCTCAAAAAGGAGGTTAACAATTTGGATGTTTTTATTTTATGTATGTTCTATGTACTCCGTCATATATGGACGGATTTTCAAAATTCTTTTTTGTCCGAACGGGGTTTATTCAGAAATAGTACCATTTAAATTTCATATAGATCTGATAATGACTTTCGAAGACAGACAATGGAACTCTTTAATGAATGACAGCAAATTAACCGCGATTGCTGCCAGGTGTGTGCCTTTTAGTGCTCTTTGTTAGTATTGTTTGAAGTCGGTTAAACTTGAAAAAAAAAAAGGATTTTATTATAGTGTGATGACTAAGGCATCTGAGGATGGCAATCGACCGACTCCTAAGACAAGTCTAGGCTTTTCTTCTACATAGGTAGTTATTAGGACATGAGTTTGTTCCAAGTCAATACGCCTAAATCATTATAAATTTTAAAAGGCTGTATTATTCATGCCATCTTTTTATACTCTTATGGGTATATTGGTCTCCATGAAATTTGACATCTTGTCAAATTACCAACTATCAAAAATACTACAATTGAAATCGGTGCACAAATATTGTAAAAATATTCCGAAGATACAATACTTTTCTTTCCTGAGCTATATTAATATTTATACGTGACCAACGTCATTTTATTTATATTTGCATCAGCTCGAGATCTCAACAGTTGTTCAACCATTTTAAATTTATTCACACTTCCATAGATAA